CGCGTGCTCACACTCCCGCGTGCACACTCGGGCTCACACACCTTCCCACGTGCACACGCTCACCGCACGTGCCTGCGCACAATATTTACATTTTGAAAGTCAGCAAGGAAGAGGCGGCTTCGTTTGTGATTTTCTGAGTTTACTCATTGATCCGGCCCATCCCGAGTCATGTACTTGGTTTCCCTTGTTTCAATCCCTCTGCCACTGCGTCTGCGGGAACTCTCGCTCGTGGGGCCCGCAGCCACGAGGAGGGACCCAGGCTTGACCGCACCGGCCGCCCTCCTCCCTCCCTCCCTCCCTCCCTCCCCAGAGTGGACAGGTCACCCCCCACCATATCTCCACAATGTACTTCGAGGACCACTGCCACCCAGCAGCGCGTCTTTCATGTTCGCTCGCGGACATGTGTCTCCTTTTCTCCTCCTCGCTCCCCTGTCGTGGGAAAAGCGAGGCGGGTTTTGACCAGTTCCGTGCGCTGCCGTCTGCGAATGTGAGAGCCGTCTGGCGCCGGGGTTGGGCCAAATGCGAGGAAATGGCGCAGGATAAATCTGCCCTTGACGGCGCGAACTGCGAAGCCGGGCTGCACGAACTCCTCACAGAAGCTGGGCTGGGGATGTGTGCGCCCCCTGTCCCCACTGCGGCTCAGCCGCCGAGGCCGACGCGCCTCCAGGAGAGCTCTCACGGGCAGGAAGTGGAATTGTGGCCGAGGACAAGTTTCAGGAGGTTCTTTGACACGGGGAAAGTCTACCTGTTTGTTTACTGCTGGTGTATGTATGTATATCAGAATCAGAATTAAACAATAAAATATCATGATTTTATCCAAGTTCTTTAAAGCAATGTAGGGCCGTTGGTCATTGTGAGCATACATCCGCATAGGCAGACAGCGGCTAAGTATAAATATTATTTATCTGTTAATATAAATATATTGTTTATCTGCTAAATAATCAGAGCACACGTGTCTGACACGTGCCCAGCGGTGCTCCCCGGTCTCTCTTTAGAACAGAATTCATTTGTTCTTTTGCAATCTGAGGTAGAGGCGATTTCCTCTTAATCCTTAACCTCAGTGATCAAACCCACATAGCTCTCCTTGAGGAAATTCCCGTGTGGTGCACGTTAATCCAGCGCACTCATGCTTATGTGAAAAAGCCCCTAGTTGCATTTGACTGTTTCGTGGAGGGGAGGAGGGAGGGCAGGTTAGGTCACCGTTACGCTATCTGGGAGGACAGAAAAGAACCCACGAGTCAGGGTCTCCATCACTGAGCTGTGCATTGTCCACTCCACGCGCAGTGGGGCTGCGGACCACGGTGTCTCCTGTGGGACGTCAGGTGACACACGTCAGGGGCCGTGTGCTAAGAGTCAAGCTCCTTGGCCAAAAAGCAAACACAGACTGACACCAGCTGGTGCCGTGTTAACCGGAAGCGGAGGCTCCAGCCACATACACACCAGCCAAGATACGATGAGGTGTGGGGACCGTCCACTCCACTCTGTTCAGCACACCTGAGCGAGACGCCTCATCTACATAACAAGCGGGTCTGTGTGGGTGTTTCCTGGGTGACTCACTGCATGGAGCTTTTTGGAACTGGATTTTCAGCGACCTTTTGCTTTTGTGTTCACAGGATGTGTGAGACCGGAGAAGGGCTGTTTATCTTTCAGACGCGAGACGGAGAGGCCATCTACCAGAAGGTCCACTCGGCCGCCCTGGCCATAGCCGAGCAGCACGAGCGTCTGCTCCAGAGCGTGAAGAATTCAATGGTACGTGGGGGCTCAGGCGCTTGGACACCCTGAGTGCCGCCCTCAGGTGGCCCCAGGTGACCGGCGGGAACAACAGACCCAGGCACCCTGAAGGCTCATTGACACGCTTTGTGCCTCTGTGATCGGGGGTGCATCCTAGTCGGTGTGGGCTCCTGCAGTACATGCCACAGATGGTGTGTGGGGGTATAAACAGCAGCACTTTATTTGATGGGGGAGACAGGAGTCCAGGGGTGGCTGGCCAGTCCCATGTCCAGCGTGCTGCCTCCCGGCTCATACACGGTGGTCTTTCTGTGCCCAGCATGGCTGTAGAGATGGGGTCTACTTTACATGAGGGCATGGATCCCATGCGAGCCCTCATGGACCAGTCACCCCCAGAGCTCTCGCCCTCTGACACTGAGTGGAGGCTGGGTGCCCTTAATCCATCGCCGTGTGCATCCCCTTGCTGCCCCTGGGATGTGAGGGTATCTGGAGCCACAGCTGTGTGGATTGTTGGCCTACAGAGACGTGTTTGTAGCTCCAGCAGATGTTATGGTGACTGTTCACAGCAGTGTGATAAAGAGGGTGGACGGAGGACTGGCGTGAGATGAGCAAGGTCCCGGCCAGGCAGGCACTCCTGGCCTGAGACTGTGAGCGTCGTGTCAGAGGGCTGTGAACTTCTCTCCAGAGAAGCCAAGGGGATGAATGCTCATTTGAGTACGGTGCAGCGGATGCTGTCCCCACACCTGGAGCTCTGAGACTAGGAGGAGCCATACAAAACCAAGGCAGCTGGGCCGCTCCGCATGTTAGGGCTTCAGCGCGGGGCGCGGGGGGACTTTCGGGGAAGCACAAGAGTGACATGATCTAGCCCAAAGCAGCCCCAGAGCACCCCAGCTCCTTGGACCTGGCTGCTCCGGGGCTGGGAGGCAGCAGTGAGCAACCTTCTGTAAAGGGCTGGGCAGCTGCGCTGTGGGCATTGTGGACTGAGCTGAGTGCCTGTGGCAGTGCCTACCTTACCTTACCTTGCTGTCTGCTCAAAATCATCTACAGGTAGTTCACCTGAAACTCACCTGGCCTGCAATTTTCATATATCGTGAAATACTCTTCACTTGGTATTTTCCCCAACCACTCAAAGACGTTCCTTTTGAACAAACTTGGGATTTGTATCCACGTCTCCATATCCGTAAAAGCCGGCTATTGCAATAGGGACAGATAAATGGTTGGGTGGACAGACGGGTGGTTGGTTGGATGGACAGATGGATGAGTGTATGGATGGATGGGTGGGTGGGTGAGTGGATGGATGGATGGATGGATAGGTAGATGGATGGATGGATGGATGGATAGGTAGATGGATGGATGGATGGATGGATAGGTAGATGGATGGATGGACGGATGGATAGTTAGATGGATGGATGGATGGATAGGTGGATGGATGGATGGATGAGTGGATGGATGGATGGGTGGGTGGGTGAGTGAACACAAAGATAGTACTAGCTGTCTATGAAGAGGAATTTGTTACTTCCAATTTACAGGACATGTCACAGGTCAAGGTTAGGTCACTCTCCCATTGGAGGCCTTTAAACACCTGAAGAAGTTTCCTGAATTCACCTTCTTGGTAAAGCCACAATTAGCATAAATTGTTTTAAGATTGAAAGGCAAGTTCTGTGCAAATGTGTTTTTCCATTTACAGGCTCCTCATTACTTCCGCTAAAAATTAATCAGGAATATGAGTAATTTGTTCAGATCATCCCATTGCAAATTTAACTGGAAAATGATGTTGTTTGCTCTTAATTTGAGGCATGCTTAACGAGTTCTAGCAAATGAATGTGATTTTAAAACAACAACATCCCATTTTAGATGGAAATGAGTCAGCTTCCAAATGGATCCCGCTCACAAGGAAGCTAGACCTGGCGAATCACTTAAAATCAGTGGGCTTGACTCAGCCGCTGAGTAGTGAGGAAAGAAGGCTCTCAGTTGGATGAGTCACTTGCCAGCAGCCCTGGGGCATCACCCTCTTCTGGGCCCCTACTCTCTCTAGCTGCAACACCTGGTTCCCTTGAAGATCACTTGCGCCACTGACAACTGGCTTAGCCTATTGAAATGACCCAGAATACTGGAGAACCTTCCCAACAGAGCGACAACCGCAGAGCACCTAAAAGTCGCCTGTTTCTTCAATCGATTTGTCCACGTTGGCCATCTTCTCCCTCGTGGCTCCTCCATCACCCTCTTGATTCTTTTCTTTTCTTTTTCTTTTTCTTTGTTTCTTTTTTTTTTTTAAAGATTTATGTTTCTGTGCTTGCAGAACTGAGGTATAGGCTAGAGATGTGGTGGGTGAGAGGACTCCCCAGAGACAGAGTGGGGAGCAGAACAGGCAGATGGACAAAGTGCACTGCTGAGGGGAGCAGCAGGTGGATCGGGAGAGGTCTCCCGCACCCTGTGGGTCAGCTCCCTGGCCGGTGATCAAACTGGTGCTGCAGTGGCTTCAGAGAGCTTCATAATGCGGTGCTTTAACCCGTTGCGCCGCCGGGGAGAGTCCACCCTCTCGATCCTTAAATCCAGCATCATCATCTCCTTTAAGGACTTGAGAGTCAGTGTGGGGGGGACTGCAGTGCCTCCCCAAGTACCGTGAACACCCTTATGGGTCCTGGGGGATCCCTGGAAGCAACCTGCTGTTTTTTCCATCTTTGAGATAAGTGTTGGTGACAGACTAATTTGGAAGCAAGCAGTCTCAGTGAGAGGGATGTTTCTCAGGCCTTGAGTTTTCTCCGAGGGGACAGTGACCGGGCGGATCAGGACTATGATTTAGCAAGGTCGGCTCTGGGGGGGGGTGTGGTGGCTTCTCCCTCACATCTTGCCTGCACCCCAGCTTGAGAGTGAATCCAGAACTGTTCCCTGTCTCCTTCTTAACTGATCGATTATGAAATTAATCCCTAAAGACTTTGTAGAATTACAAAGTGCAATTTAGAGCCGTGTCCCAGCACCATGTTTTCTGTCTGGCAGGAAAGTGGGGTTCAGGGGGGTCTGGTAGACAGGGGGTGTGTGGATAAAGGAAAGATGCCCTCCAACAATAAAAGAGAGAGTCCCTTCGCGGACAGTGTCCACTCAGCCTTTCTGGCTGGCTACTCTTGAGACTAAATCTCAGCAGTGTGGTTGTTGGGTCAAGAAAGGCGTAAATTTAATTTTGACCTGTAAGGAGAAGCCCACTCCCAAAGCCATAGTAGCTTTGAACACACTCGGCCATGTTGTTGCCTGTACTGAGGTGTCATGTTACTCCTCATCTCAAAGTGAAATACCTCTAACTTGTTTCTTGAATAAATCCCCAAGACCAAAAAGAGGGAGCGCAGAGTTCATTGGAAGGGAGGTGGGGGAGTCCTCCCTGGTGGCCTGGGGTTCTGTCTCAGCACCATCATCACCTTGGCCTGAGTCCATCCTTGGTCGGGGAGCTGAACCCCTGGCACAGCAGACCCCTCCTGTCTCCCCGCTGCTCCCCTCAGCAGTGGGTTTCAGTGGATCCGCCTGCTCTGCTCCCCACTCTGTCTCTGGTGTGTCCTCTCACCCCCTAACACCTCTGGCTTGCACCCCTATAAAGAGAAGGGGAACAGGGTTCCTGGGGAGGGCATGGGCAGCAGAAAACCCCCAGACCTAAACCACCTAGATTCCTCTAATCGAGGGGCAGTTAACGTTGACTGAGCCGCGCCGGCCGGCTCTGGACCAAATGCACCTGTTTATTACCTGTAGTTTTCACCGGCCACCCTCACAGGTAGCCGTCGGCTTTTCAGTCCTACCTAATTTACTTTTATATAGGTGCACACTGAAATGTAACTGCAAGAGTATGACCAGAGATGACATGAGCGCTACATATTGTTTCTCCTCATTCTGTTGGCATCTCTGCGTCTCTCCTAACAGCTGCCCAGCCCTCACACACCCATTTTCTCTCTCCTTCTTTCCTCTCTGCCCACATGACCCTGCACAGAAATCAATGCCACCGGACACACAGGAACACAGGGCGGGGGAGTGGCGGTCCCTGTTGAATTTGCAGTCTGCTCATCATTTTGCACTCTACCTACGCCTGGCTTTCTCCCTCACAGTAACGAGCTAGTGAAAAGAGCTAAGCGTTCTGACGTGAGGTCTGATTCAGGGTGTGGTCAACTGCAGCCCGCAAGCCCAGTCCGGCCTGTGCCTCTGGTTATTCAGTTTTGATTGGGGCACAGCTAGGCCCACTCAAGTGCAATTGTTCCGGCTGCTTTCTGCTTTCGTGTTGAAACAAAAGAGTTCATTAGTTGGCAGTGGGGACTGTGAAGCCTTCAAAGCTATTTATTTCTGGCCCTTGATAGAAAATTTATTATTTTTAAAGGCCGTGATACTTCAGGGTCTTCGTGTAACATTAATGTATTGAGCCCATCTATGAGATAAAATATCCATATTACTTATTACCAGTAACAACTAATCAACCCCACAATAACATCTTTTACCCGGATTCTTATGCACTGTTGTTAACTTTATTTCACTGAGTTTCTGAACTGAACTTTAAATTGTCTAAATTCAAGCACAGGGTGGCAGATGATGGGATGTATTTTTTGATAGGTGTTAAATTAAGCATTTTATTTGTATCTAAACCCCGGACTTCTGTGCCTGCTACTGGCATTTCCTTAGGTGCGTTTCATGGCCGGGGAAACTGAGGCTCAGTGGCTCAACAGTAGTGTGTGAGAAAGTTGGGCAAGAGCACAAAGCCCTGACTTGTGCTCTGTTCTGGAGGCCTCGAGGGTAGAATAGATGCCGTCTAGGATCTGAGTGGTCTGGGCAGAGGTGGGGGGGGCTGGGGGACCCTGGGACAGATTCGCCACCATCCTGGGCTTTAGCATCACCTGGAAGGCTGACAAGCGCCAGGTGACTGAGCGCTGGTGTTCTAGCAAGTCTTGGGGTGGGGGTTTGTTCAGTGAACCCCAGTGCTGAGAACCAAAGTGTCCACTTGGACATAATTCCTTGACTGTCCAGTGATAATAGCTCTTAACCCGTCTTTCCAC